ACCACAGTGCCACTTCTGGCTTTTTTCTTTTTGCTTATGTGGTGCTGAGGAATTGAATGCAGGGCCTCATGCATGCATGGCAAGCGCTCTACCACTGAGCTACCTTCCCAGCCCTTCTTGAACTTTTTGTACTCCTGACTTAGCCTAATGAGTTCTCGGATTGCAGGTATATACTACCATACTCATCTGGTCACTAAATATTTTTTTATCGTTATTATAAAGGTGATATACAGAGAGGTTGCAGCTACAAAAGTCAGGCAAAGAGTACATTTCTTTTTGGACAATGTCACCTCTTCCCTTGCTTTAGGCCTAATTTTTGATGCAAAGTGTGTAAATAGAGGGTTTTTCTCTATAGGTCTGCCTGAATTTGACCAGGGAGTAAGAGAAATCATTCTGGAGGAGGAGGAATGCATGTGACCCACATCCCTGTAAGCAGGCTTGATGCAGGTGCGTCTGTGACATGCAGGCCAGTCTGGCCCTACCTCAGGCTCCTGAGAAGCGGTAGATTCACCAGTAAATCATGCTCAGTTCTGCAAAGCAGACAGATATTTCTAGCAGAGAATTCTATCCCAGGTCATACACAGGGATTAAAGCTACTGAGTTTCCCCTTTATTTTAACCTGTGATAATGCCAAATCATCTCCCTGCTGAGGACGGTGAGATTGCCAGTGGCTGGAGGCTTGGCTAGACATGTGCCCCCTGGAGCACAAACCGTCTCCTTGTGGTTGAACTCTAGTGTCTGGACAGGATCTAGGAGTCTGTAGATTGACCTGACATCAGAGAAAAAGTCTCCTCTCACTCTTGACCATGCAATAGTGTCTCGGTTCTCAAAGCCAAGGATACCAACCCAAACTGCTGAAAGAAAGCACCAGATCCCAAATCTTCTCCTTTGTCTCCCACTGGAGTGGCAAGGAAGGCCACATAACATAACAAAGGGTTTGGGATAAACAGATATAATAGGTGTGTTTGGGAAGGATTTGGAAAATCAAAGGGATGGTTCATTTGAAAATAACTAGCACTCTACCACTTGAGCCACATGCTACTTCCGGTTTTCCGAGTGGTTTATTGGAGATAAGCGTCTCCCGGTCTTTCCTGCCTGGACTGCGACTCTCAGATCTCAGCCTCCTGAGTAGCTAGGATTACAGGTGTGAGCCACTGGTGCCCGGCTTGACATTAGTCTTTTAAAATTTATTATTTTTGTTGTTGTTGTTGCCAGTCTTGGGCTTAAACTCCAAGTTTGAGTGCTGTTCTTGAGCTTTTATGCTCAAGGCTAGCACTGTACCACTTGAGCCAGAGCTCCACTTCTAGCTTTTTGGTAGTTAATTGGAATAAAAATCTCATGGACCTTCCTGATCAGACTGGCTTCAACTTGTGATCCTCAGATTTCAGCCTCATGAGTAGCTAGGATTATAAGTGTAAACCACAAGAAACTAGATTTTCAAAGTAATTATTTTTTAACTGACAAAAATCATGTCTATTGACAATATATGTACAGATTTGAAATATGTCTACAGTGAGGAATAGTTAAATGGAACTAATTAACATATGTGTCACTTCATATAACTTTTTGTGCTAAGAACCCTTAGATTTTATTCTCTTAGTGAATGTCAAGCACACAATGCACTCAGGCCTCTGTA